CCCCAAAACCCCAAAACCCCAAAACCCCAAAACCCCATGAGCTATTAATTAGATTTCTAAATTGAATTTGAAACTTATTAAATGAATAATTTCCCAGGCATCACTTTGAAGATCTATGAGCTTTAATTCGTTGTTAACCCCAATGATAGAGCCATCTAAATTCCATAGTAAATTCAGATATCTTAAAAAAATCCGAATCAAAACTTTCAAATCTGTGGAATTAAACAAATTTAATAGAAGCAGACCATCTTAAATTGTTTTTCTGAACTGTAATCAAAGATCGAACAACCTGAGACTTTCTGTGAAAATCTAATGCAAACAACTCGACCACCGACACAATGGTGTGACAATCCGGCAGAAGTAGAAAATCGATATCCTAGAAAAAGTATTAAGACGGAGCAGAATTTAGTGAATTAATTAGTAACATTGAAGAGAGCTATCTAATCTTAGATTCCAAAACATCGTCAGAAGGGAAGCATGATATTTTCGGACAATCGCGAATAGGAAATAAACTATTACAATCCGACAAGTAAAAACATGTTTTAAATATAAGACTAAAGAGGTCACCGCAGCCTAAGAAGTGATGTCCTCTACAAGACAATATCTCGGGATATGAGAAAATTTTATTCCAAAGACTTCAATGCAGTGACAGGCTTTATTATAATAAAAAATAGAAGAGAAAAAAAGTTTTTCCTCGCTTAGATAGAAGCCTACCTTAAATATAGGTTTCCAGAGTTCCACTACCTATTGGATAAGAGATTATAATAAAGCGGTTCTCAAACTAGTGAAAATAAAATTAATGAAATAGTTTTCTTCTTTGGGTGCCTAATTTACCCCAAAGAGATGCACAAGTGTCTATAGACTGAAGATCAATCTACCGCCAAATCCGCTGATAGCAATCCTGACAGGATTAAGATGAAGTCTATTTAAAATGCAAAACTTAAATCCTTCCACGAATCCTTATATCAATTTTCTCTCCAAAAACTTTATGATTTAATCTGCTCTGAACTTTACGCGTATTTCTTCTGCCATTACTTCTAGAAGCAGATCATTGAGAAGAACCATATAGAGACAAAGTGCCCTATGAACTAGCATAAGCCAGCCTTTGTTATAGCATATAACCTACTGCTAAGACTCAGCCAACTTACACTGGTGAGCTCCTTGCTAAAATAAGATGCAAAGACATTAAATGAAGATTATCTTTCAAGCGCCATGAAATATTTGCAGTAGGAGCCAAAGACTTTGAATCTATTCCGTCCTGAAAACAATCCAGATAAAAATTAATTTCCCGAAGATGACCTCAAAACTCTAACATAAGAAGCATTTTCAATGAGAGATGAGGATTCTGACTCGGAATTTTGACCTTGCATTCTCAAATTTAGCTTAATATTAGATTAAATCCATAGATCGGAGTCTTGTTATGGAATGATCATTATCTAATTTAATTAACCTAAATTTCAAAATAAAGTTTAATCAATATACATTTAATAAAATATAGATATTAATTCCATGATGTTATTAAGGCGAATTAATTTCAAATAAATTTCTTTAAAATCTCAAATTCTACAATCATGGGGTTTTGGGGTTTTGGGGTTTTGGGG